CTTTTCACTCTGTTTTCAATTCTTTTCAACTTTTGATTTATTTGATTTGTTGATTTATTTTGCTGGAAAAATAGCAGCAACAAAAAGCATTTTATGCTCTGTATTGTTCTTCGTTGTAGTTATACAGCTGGGAAGCCAAAAAAAAAAACTGAATAAAAAACAACGATGAAGACGGTGACGATGAGAAAAAAAAAAGGCCGAGTGTAAGACGAAAAAGGGTAAAAAAAACTGCAGGGACAGAAAAAATTTTAAGAAAGAAAAAACTTGTAATTTTTTTGATGAACTTAAAAGTTAAAAATTCTATTTGAACCTATAGTCGTCGTTTAATCGTGTTTTTCTATCTAAACAACAAAATTTTTTTATTGCTCTTTTCCCCAAATTTTTTTTTTTCCTGCTTTTGAAGTTTATGTTGTTAACGATTTGGTAGGGCAGATCGTTTTTGTTCATTGATCTGTTTATGAAAATACATTCTGTATCTGTATTGCTTCCAAAAATTAATAACATACCTCATAGATTGTTAACAAAAGCAACAAAATAAAAAAAAAAGTGTTTTTTTTTCTAAGAAAGAATTGTTTTGAAGCATAGGTTTTGTTTGGCTTTTTTTGTTTTTTTGAAGAATGTAATAACGAGTACTATTAATTTCCAAGCTGTCAACATGGATATAAAAAAAAAATTTTTCTTTTTTTTTTTGAATTTATTTAATGATGTACATTAGTTACAGAGCTCAATTTTTCTTTATAGCATTTCATATTTGACTTTTTTTCTTTTTTTTCTGGGGGGGGGGGAGGGTAAAGGAGGTTTCAATAAGGCCGCTAAACATGAAGATCATTTTGAGATGTATTTGTGTGTATAACTGAATCCAATTGTGATATTGTGACATTACTGAGTAATGACGGCTAAATATATTGCCTGTGTTCTGTCGTGTTTAAAAAAAATTTGTCAATTTTTGTTGATATGATTAGTCGAGCATCGGATACATGTATCTTAACAAATATATACTGAGGTGGTGAAAAATAGAATCAAAATTTTAGAAGCTGTTTCGATGCAGAGGACCTAAAAGTATCGGTTTGGTGCTTGGACGGACATTTCTGAAAGTAGCCACCATGTTCACGTTTCCTCCGTTTGCTGTCATTTTATTAGTATTTTGCTTGGTATTTACAACAAGTGTAAGTGCCAGCAGCGGTCTTTGCAGTGTTTTTGATCCCTTTAAAGTACAACCTGATGGAAGTAAAGTTAGTTTAAAAAGCACTTATTTGATTTTCTTTTCTTTTCTATCTTTACTTTTGTTATTGTTATCGTCATTTTTTGAAGGTTGTTATTGCTAATATTGCATAACTGTTTTGTTCTAACAATTTCAGTATCAAATTGGCGGTGCATTTCCGTTACATTATTCAGACTGTTCACAGTTGCGACCAGAAGGTGTTCAGGATATTGTAGCAATACAATGGGCTTTAACACATTGGAATCAAAATCCAGCAAACAGTCACGTAAAAATCGGTAATTTATATGCACCATTGAGTATCGATGACAGTATTTACAGTTGTCCAATAAATACTGGCATTATTTTTTTTTCTTTTTTTGATTTTGATTTTATTGTTATTTCGATTTACGTTATTTATTGTTTTTTGAACTTTTAAGACACCGTGGTAATTGTTGCATGAACAAATCTGACGAGTTTAATGATTGGAGCAAAGACAGAAAAAAAAAGTGTTTTTTTGTTCAACAGATATATAGGTTTTGTTGTCGTTTGTTGTCGTTACCGATCAGTATCTATTGTTTTCAAAGTATTTTATAGGCAGAGTAACCTGAATTAAATTTTTTTAGGCTACTGTTAAATTACTGGCTCAAGAAAAGTCTTTTTTTTTTTTAAGAAGTTATATTTAACAAATTAGATACAGGAAAAAAAAATCGGTGTTGCTGATAGTATTTGTTGCTGATTTTAAGTCTTGAAAAAAAAAAAGACAAACAACAACGAACAATTTCTAAAATGTTAGATACCTAAATATGTTCAATAAAGGCTAAAAAATGTAGAGAGAACTGAAGCAAAAAAAGTTTTTTCAATAGTTCTTTTCTACGTAAACAAAAAAAAAGCTTCAATGAACTATAATTAATAACAAGTCAGTTGATTTGAAGGTCTTTTTGCTGGAGATACTTGCTCAAGGCCGAAGGAAGCCTTGTCGCAGTCGTTGCGTTTCCTTGATTCTATCGGCTATCATGAACCAGATGAATGCACCTCATCATCTGAACGACAAAATATGTCGAAACTGTTGGGTAAAATAGTTTGATGTATTAATAAAGAAGCTTTATAACTTTTAGTTCTTTCTAACCTTCTCTAAATACAAAGTAACTAGACTGTTGGCAACTTGTGCTAAATGTCAGGTTTCGCCACCTGCAGTTTCCTTAATTTTGCGATGTAATATTTGAGCAAAAAAGAAAGCACGAAGGTAGCACAGGAAAAACAGGAACCAGAAGTATGGTAGAAATATGTGTTTGTCATTAAAGAAGTGAAAAAGTGTAACTAAAGAAGCATACAGAAAATGCGTTGATGATTATCTTTATTACAGTTGATATATACTGCAGGTTTAATAATGCCAAGGGATGAACGATCGTCTCGAGCCTTAGGTACACTGCTGAATTCGGCAGTACTGCCGGTTGTCAGCTATTCGTCGTCATCAGCAAATGCATTAGCTGAATTAGAAATAAAAAATGTCATTTCAACAGCACCGACATTATCCATTTTCATTGAAGTTTGTTTTTTGTTGTCATAATTACAAAATTTTTTTGTGCTGCAATTATTTTTGCTTTAATCGTTGAACATATTGCTGTGTCAATTTGTAGCCCGTAAATGTGTTCAAAAAAACTAAACGTTGAGCAAAAATATAGAGCAATATGAAGCAAATAAGTGAAATTTTCGGAAGTTGATTATTCTTTATAAAAATTTTTGCTATAATATTTTGGCCAGATTAAAATCTATTTTGAGCTCAAAAAATTTTTCGAGGATTTTTTTTTTTTTTTTTTTTTGCACAAGCAAAAGAAAGCGAAAAGAGGAGAGGGGAAGGTGCCAGTTGTGTTGGCAATTGATTGAAACTAATTTAGCAGTGCTTGACGTCCAAAATTAAAGTTTCAATCTTCTGAAATTGTAGCAACAATAGGATCAATAAAAATTTGAATAAGTTGATAAACTTGTCCTTTACTTCTGTATGACTACCATTTTTTATAAGCATTTTTAATTGCATTAACATTTCAGACAAATAACTGTACAAAATTCTGTTTATTCTTCTCGTCTCTTTTTTGGCTAACTGGTAGAAATTTTTGATCAATAAGTTAATTCGATCTAATTTTAAAAACTAATCAAATAACTGCTAGCTTATATTTACCTTTTTTTTTCTCTCTCTTTTTCTTGCCAAATTTTTGTAGCAACAGAAAGATGTAATTTAATTTTTAGTGGCAACAAAATTTTATTTACCTTTTCTTCTAAAAGATTCATTGCTCTTATATTCTAATCAAATAGATAATTAAAATTTAGTGCTTAAAATTTTAAAAAACTTAGTAATTTTAAAGACTATTTTAGTAAAAAAAAAAAGAAAAAAATCAAAGAAATTGGCGAAAGACAGAAAGATCGTAGTGACAATAGTAAATAATTTATTTTGAACACAGAAATTCTATTTTTTTTTTGTTGCGCTGTGTAATACACGTTTCTAAGATGTACATACGGAGTAAGAAAAAGTTTAGTAGTTTTGGTGCCACATTAATCATTGTTTGACACATTTGATTTCATAAATCTTATAACATAAAGTTTACTAATATTTGCAACTTTTTAAAATTTAATAAAATTTATGGGCTTTATACAGCAGTTACCAGTAATTCTTACTTTTGTTGTTGTTGTTGTTGTCGTTGTTGTTGTTGTTGTTGTTGTTGTTGTCTGTTCGTTTGTTTAGTTTTCAATTTTAGGCTTTCATAAAATTGATGGCGAATTTGCGTAGCAATTTGGTAGTGGTGGTAATCAATGATCGAAGGAAGGAAACGGTAAAGAGAGTGCTCAAACAGATCAAAGCAGGCGGCATCTATATATCAGATGTGGTTTCCATCAACAATCCAGGATTTTTGAGGATACTGTCAGAATCTGACAGTCAAATCATCTTGTCGTTTATAGACAAACAGGAGGTCTGTTTTTTCTTTCTTTTTTTTTTTTTTTTTTTT